TCACTCATTCACTCACTCATTCACTCACTCATTCACTCACTCACCACCACCGCCACCGTCACCACGATCCCCAACTTGATCACCACCATCACCTCTCTGGACCCCAATGCGTCTAGATCTCTGGACTTTCTGCTTTTTGACCTCACACACACTGTTTGGGGTCTCTTGCCAGGATAACTTTCTCCGGGTGAAGCGAAGTCGCTGAGGTGACCCGAACCTATCTTGGAGAGATTGTGGATGAGAGCAACGAGGCCGAAAGTGAGAGTATCGAGGCCTATGTCTCATCCCTCTCCTTAGATTTGACTTTGACTTGAGGGAGGTCACTCCAGAACATGAACATGGAAACAGGCCCGTTGCTTCTGCTAACATGCCCATAGGTTCCCATGCGCCTGAAACGTGTATGGAGAGATTGCTGACCTGACTGGCAAGAAGCACCTCTCAGGATGAACCGTAGCCAATCTCTTTCTTTTTCAATGAACCAAATGCAACCAGCGTTTATGCACTTATACAACCAAACATTTAAGTGCACAGAGGGAACAGTACCAACTATGAACGACGTTCCATAGCTCCAAGCAAGTAGACATGACATGCGACGTGACACAGCCGAATGGGGAGGAGAACCGGCGAAGACGCGCTGGATGCGTGCGGAGAAGCGAAACCGGCGAACCCAAGCGGTGCGTCCGCCAGTGCGACCGGCCGATCAGTTGCAGGTCACTCGAAAGCGAGAAGAACCCGGCTGACCAGCCTGTAAATAGTTCGATTAAATCAGTTGCAGCTCCTCTATATACTTCTTCCTGCAAACAAATCAGTTTTTCTTCCCCTCCAAAAGAAAACCATCCTAAAAGGCACCCGTCGCGACGCCGAGCCGCGACGGCGGAACAAAGAGGGGATTGTCCGCCTGACCTGAGATCGTTTGGCCGCCTTGGGAGGCGAAAGGCTTCAGCTTCCTGGCGCTCTGCTTTTCGGTGGGGCTCTTCGTGGGGCCCATCCTCGGGGGCGAGCGCCTTGACGGCAACCGGGCGGTCGGAGGGCGGGGGCGGACAGTTTCTCCGAGGGAAACGACGCCAAAGGCGGAGTGGAGTGAGAAAGAAGCGGCCGCGCGGAGGGTCTGGAGGAAACTGATATGAGTTGACCGACCTTCAGACTGAAAAACATCCGTACGACAGTCCAGGGGATATGAGACAGTACAGTGGGTGCAACTGACCTTGCTGACAGGCAAGACGTTCTAAGCTTGCTTGAAATTCCAACCTTATACTGGGGTGTGCATTCTCCCACAACCCTTGGAGCATTAAAGTTAGAAGGTACTAAAACTAAATAATTACTCAATGTGTGAACTTTTGTCCACCAAAGACTGGCTGCCTGCTTCCGCACAAGAAGCCATTGTGGACAGCTTGGTTTCGTGCAAAAACCTCTGAGGCTGGTGTTTCCCGCTGAACGAGCCCCACAAATCTTTGGTGGCACCATCTTTGAAGAGTATCCTTTCCTCTTGCCAAATCTCACGTATGTGCCTTGGTACCGAATTAACCGAAGGCACATTTGGGCTCATTTGGGGAGCAAAAGCATGTAGGAAAAGTCTTGGTTGGTCCTCCAGTAATTCCTGGCAGTGTTGTGAACCGGGCTGGCGGACGGTTCTCATCCAAGGGCCCCCACTGGACATGTGACTTGTATCATGTTGAGGTGGTTGTATGGCCATGGCTCAAAGGTGGTGTACCATCGAGTGACCCGCTAGCAGCTAGCAGCAGAATGCGACATCCAAACTGGATTTGTATCCTCTCCTGTTCCGCATCCTTTGTTCCCGCTCCTGACTCCCCGGAGGCCATCTTTGCGGCCATCGCATGGGTAATTGGCTGTGTTTTTCTGGAGGCGCCAGGGTTGGTGCTGGTTGGGGCAGGCCTCCGGTTCTTTAATGGGCCACATTTGCAAGCATCAGTCATTGCGAATAACTGCATGGGTGGGAGAGCCCTTCTTAATCACGGGTGTCAGTGCCCCAACCACCTGTCCTGCACACTTGGGGTCCCTTTTTTGCAAAAATAGCAGACACCAAACTTGGGCACTAAATGCCAACGAGGTATTTTGCTGTTTGCAACCTAGAAAGAAGGTCTGGAAACGCGTGCTTTGCCGCTGTGCCGCTAGGAAACGCTGCCGCACAGCAAGCGGTGTTGCCACCGGCGGACGGCAGATCTTCCAGAGCCTACTGGACTAACGAGATCGACGAGTGGCACTGATCCTTCAGGTGTGGGTGGGGCGATCGGCGATGGGAGAGGCCGCCTGGGAAGAGATCAGTAGCATTCAGTAGCTAAGATCAGATTCATCAGGTCGGATGTGGGTTGCAAACACCAGGCGCCTTTGCATGTCTTGCAATGTCTTGCGACCCGTGCAGCGCGGCACTCGGTGACCGTGACCATGACCGCGTGGGCTTCAGGTGCACCGAACCGCTACGTGATTCCCGAAGATGAGTCCCAAGCGTCAGGCGGAGCGTCCACCGGGCCGGTCCGCGCTCGGCAGCTGATTCACCACATCTCATTGGGCTTCATTCGCACGTCATGGAAATGGTCCTTGGTTTTGGGACGGTTTGGGCCTTTTTGTTCCCACGTGGTGCTCTCAAGGTCCCAATTGGACAAGATGCCAGGCCGAACGAAAGGCTACCCGTACATGCAAATTCACCAATTCGCAGCATTCGCCCTCATTTGCCGCAGACGCCAGCAACAAGAAGGGCTGCTATTCCTTGGAGATGGTCTCGATGCTTGCCAATATGCCCCTGTAATGGACGCGCTCTTGATCAAGCGCGACAATGATGTTTTAATATGGTTCATTATATTTCTGTGCCGAATCCAAGACAGGTGCTTGAGGAGACACAAAGAACAAACCTGAGGTTGAACTTTTTGAGCAAAGTGAATGTGGAAATACAAGTCTTTGAGGCGTTCCAATGTGCATACATGCTATGTCCATCATGTATATTGATTGGGTCTGCTATTATGATTGGAGAGGCCTCGTTTGTGAACACTCTCCAGTGACGACCCATCCTTTGCAACTCTGACACTTTGAGATGCCAAATGGGTGACCAGGGATGCCAACCTTCGGCCTTCAGGCCAACCTGTGTGTTTGGTATTGACCAATGTCCGAAAAGCCTTTGAAGATGGCTAAAGTTTTTGAGATTGTCTTGAATTGCCTCTCTATCTATGTGAAGGTTTTGCCACATCGTACGAGAACTCACCCGGAAAACCTACCCACCCTTTGAGGTGTCAAGAACACCGGGGGCCTTGGAGACGGTGTTCTGCAGAAAGCCATGGACCAGATCCATTCTGATTGGCTCACCACTGCCATGAAGACACATTTCAACAAGGGAAGGTTGCAGCTGCTGCATCGAAAGTCCACACGCCCTTCACAAGGGTGGTCCTTCATTCTTTGTAAGCTGTTCTGCAGTTCTGCATCAAAGGTGCCTGACCTCTGGTGACACGGGTGACCCCCACTGGTGCCATCCAGAGTTTCATCCACTTTTCATGGCCAGACCATGACCTATTGTGGCGCTGTGGTTGCGCTTCCCAGGACGATCGTGACCTATTGTGCTCTTTCGGGCACCACAGCAGCTCAAAACCAGCTGTTGATCCTCCTGGTGTCCGGAGACCCAGAGCTGCCACCTCCCAGGCACCTGCCAGGCCCCTCGGTGAGTCCCCAACGAGTCACCCACATCGGGGTTTTGGGGACTCAGCTTGGACTGTCGCTCCAGAAGCGCGCGCCGACCGACCTCGCGCGGAGTTCTTTGCTTTCGCTTTGAGAACGACCGATCGATCGACCGTGGCGACCGCTGTGGAATCGGACCTGTGGAGGTCATGTAGCTTGGAGTCAAATAGGCTCTGGGCTTTTTGCATCAGAGCCTACTCACTTTGGGCCGCTTAGGTCCTATGAGAAGTCGGCTGGTGGCTTTGAGTTTGGCCCGCGCGATATTGGCTTTCTGCAAAACATAGGCACCATCCGGAAGGAGGAGAAACGGATTCGCATTTCCTGCTTCAAGGTTCACTTGAGTTTAGTGTTCACATAAGGGTCTTGACCAGCACTCAGTCCAGGGCCCCCTGGGAGGCTATGCTTCTTTACATTTGCTTACAAGACTAGCATCATTGACGGGATCACGCGCCGCCAGAAAGCGGTCAAGCGGGTATGTCAAGAGAAGCGAAGAGAGCTTGCAGAGAGAGAGAGAGAGACAGAGAGCGCGAGAGAGGGAGAGAGAGAGAGAGAGAGACAGAGACGACATCAACGTGATGTGGAACTCCAAATTGAACAGAACGGGTCCTTCGCGTCCTTCCCTTTAAAAGGGGGATCTGATCGAGTCGGGGCAAAAGAGATGTGAGTGAATGAGCGACGAGCGACTCTGGAAATCAATGCAGGTGCTGTTGGACTATTGAGTTCTCAACTCTTCCTCTATCCGAAACTCACAAAGAAGTTTGGTTCCTCGGCAGCAGGGCCAGAGGAGTGCAATCCCGACAGATTCTGTGAATGTTCAACATTGTTGTAACAAGTTTGGACGATCGAGCTTGTCATTTTCAGCTACAGATGTTTTGGAGAAGAATGTGAATCAGAATGGTTGACTTGCGAAATCAGTTCATTGCCATCGCCCTCCATCCATCGCCTCCGCCCGCCCAGCCCCCACGAAGCAGTTCGCCGCACCGAAGCCGAGCAGAGGTCTACACCATGCGACGCGGTGCGACGCGAAGCGTGCCCGCTGGGGCCAGGTTTCCTCAAGGTCTTCCTCTTCGGCTTTTTCATGGCTCACCTCTCTTACGGACTCTTTCCCATCTATGGACGCCTGGATTGGCAGCGGAACGGGCGTAGTATTCAGTTGGAGAGTAGTTGATTCACGGTTTGGCAGAAGCCTGAAAGACAGTTCGTAGCTTGAGGGCCTCCAGGGTAGCTTGATTTGTCCGTCTACGTGTTCGTTCAATTGTGTGTTCTCAAGGTTGGGTACCGTTCTGCATGGTGAATCAATCCCGACTAGCAGCAAGTCCCTGCAACAGCTAGCAGTTGGGGTCATTGCGCATGGCTTAGATCAGCATCCAATGACCGTTTTCTTCTTTTGTTTTTGGGGGTCCCTTTTCGGGAGGGGCATCCACATCGAACCTCCGCCAGTCCGGTGGGATGCCACGAAGTCCGCTCCGCTCGGTGGTTCGGTCCGAAATGTTCGGATCCGCCAGCCTTGAGGCGCCTTCGCGGACCCGGACAAGTATGGCCTCCTTGGCGAGAATTTGGGGTCGGTTTTGGAATGGGTGGCATCAGGTGGAGTGACTTGGGGCAGTGGGATTAGGAGGATTAGGAGGATACAGAGGTGCTAGTTCGATGCTAGCCCAGTTTCTTCACTTCCATTTTTGCTAACTTCCAAACTGCCAGCAAACAGGGACGCTCTGGGATGCATGGCCAGCAATGCTTTACTGTTGCAGGGCTTCAGAAAGTTCAAGGTACTTGTAGGCCTTGCGTGAGAGATTAACAATCCCAAGAGGGGATAATGGAGCCTTCCATCCTCAAATCGCTGCACTTCACCTCAACAACCCCCATTTCATCTCCCTTTCCATTTGACATGCTTCAAGTCTTCCCGCTTCATTATCCAAACGCACACACACGCACACACACACACACACACACCCGCACACACACACACACACGGTACTTTTTAGGTGTTGAGGAAGAACCCTCAAGACTCAAGACAAATCAATACCTTAGAATATCTCAGAGATCTTGACGCAGAAGAAAAGCCTGCACATGCCCATTCTTTTTTGTGAGCTTTTTCCCCATGGCCCAGAGTCTTTTTCGCCCTCCAGAGACCTTTTCCTGGTATTTGTTCCAGGTATTTATCGATTCATTCCACTGGGCATGATGCAATTCGTCTACACGGCGGCCACTGGAATGATGTTCCCCACGGCCTTCGCCTTCATCAACCGCCACTTTCGGCACTAGGAGGGCTGGGACTTGCTGGGGGCGACGAGCCGCTGGGGACTGGCGGTCAATCAAGCCGAAGACTTCCAGATAGATGGTTTGCTGCACCTGCACACAGGGAAGAGAGTGAAAGAGAGAGAGAGAGGACAAAGAGAGAGAGAGAGAGAGAGAGGACAGAGAGAGAGAGAGAGAGAGGGACTCAGGGACTCAAGCGCCTACTGGATTTAGGGACTCAAGAGTACTGGTTTACCATGTGCATCTACATGCTCAGCTCTGTGGTATGCATGGTCCAGAATGTGCATCATTTTTTTCGCACCCACAGCCATTTTTGTTAGAACCGTGCACTCTCTCAGGCTCCTAGTTGTCGACCCCTTACCTCCAGCTCAAGTGGTTTTCCAACGCACATGTGAATTGTTCTGTTTTCCGCTTCAGCATCCGACCCCACGTGCAGACGTCGGACGTTCTCGCAGTCTCGTCTTCGCGGACGTGAGCCACTGGTTGGTGGCTCCCTCGGGTTACCCGAGGCTCTGCGGAAGGCTTCAACCGTGGCGCGGTGAATGGCTGGGCCAACTCCTCTGGGGCCTTGTGCCGAGCGGCCTTCCCCCCAGCCTCGGCGGTGACTCGGCGCAAGGGTCTGGGGCGATGCATTGGTAGTTGTTCCCCAAACAGTTTACTGTTAGGGGTTCTCAATGCTTTAAAGAATGGTCGCCTTGGTGCTGGATGGTCTGGTCGGGTTCCCGGCCGGCTTGTCTCCCACTTCCTTTTATTTGTCTCCCAGTTCTTTTCATTTGTCTCCCAAGCTCGGTGCTTGTGGTCGGGTTCCCGGCTGGCTTGTCTCCCACTTCCTTTCATTTGTCTCCCAGTTCTTTTTATTTGTCTCCCAGGCTGGTTGCTTGTTGTCGGGTTCGTGGCTGGCTTGTCTCCCACTTCCTTTAATTTGTTTCCCACCCAGCCTGGGAGACAAATGAAAAGAACTGGGAGACAAATGAAAAGAAGTGGGAGACAAATGAAAGGAAGTGGGAGACAAGCCAGCCGGACAAGCACCCAGCCTGGGAGACAAATGAAAAGAAGTGCTTGTGGTCGGGTTCCGGCTGGCTTGTCTCCCACTTCCTTTCATATGTCTCCCACTTCTTTTCATTTGTCTCCCACTTCTTTTCATTTGTCTCCCAGGCTGGGTGCTTGTTCCTTTCATTTGTCTCCCAGTTCTTTTTATTTGTCTCCCAGGCTGGTTGCTTGTTGTCGGGTTGGTGGCTGGCTTGTCTCCCACTTCCTTTAATTTGTTTCCCACCCAGCCTGGGAGACACATGAAAAGAAGTGGGATCCCATTTGTCTCTCACTTCTTTTCATTTGTTTCCCAGGCTGGGTGCTTGTGGTCGGGTTCCCGGCCGGCTTGTCTCCCACCTCCTTTTATTTATCTCCCAGTTCTTTTCATTTGTCTCCCAGGCTGGGTGCTTGTAGTCGGGTTCCTTGTCTCCCACTTCCTTTCAGTTCTCTCCCAGGCTCGGTGCTTGTGGTCGGGTTCCCGCCGGCTTGTCTCCCACTTCCTTGAATGTGTCTCCCACTTCTTTTCATTTGCTTCTCAGGCTGGGTGCTTGTGGCCCGGTTCTTGTCTCCGAGGTCCGTCACTGCTGGTGCCATGTAGAATTTCTATTGATTTGTTTCCCAGGTCCGTTACTGCTGCTGTCCGCCCTTTTCCGTTGGCCATGTAGCATTTCTATTCATTTGTCTCCCAGGTCTGTCACTGCTGGCGCCCGCCCTTTTCGTCGGCCATGCAGCATTTCTATTCATTAGTCTCCCAGGTCTGTCACTGTTGGTGTCCGCCCTTTTCCGCTGGCGATGCAACATTTCTATTCATTTGTTTTCCAGGTCTGTCACTGCTGGTGTCCGCCCTTTTCCGCTGGCCATGTAGCATTTCTATTCATTTGTCTCCCATGTGATTTCTTTCTTTTTGTCTTTCAGGTTTGTGTTTTCTGCCCTGTCCGCTGGAACAGGTTCGCCTGTGAAAGGTTCTTGCTCCTTTGCAAGGGGTGCGTGACTGTCTCCGGGATTGCATTCCTGCCACACTGTGTAACTCTCTCAGCTTTGTTTCCCTTTTCGGGCAACCGTCGGATGAATGACCGGGTTAGATTTCGGCAGCGTGGCAGCGATCTCTCTGTTCAGTTTGGGCGGAGGGCATACGTCAGGCACCAAAAATCAATTTCATGTCACATCCTTCGCTCCTCATGCTTTTGTTTCTTGTCCTCACGTGGTCAGCTCCCCGCTGACTGAGCTGCATGACCGGCATCATGTTCGCGCTTGAAGAATAATTCCCCAAAAGGTTTACTGTTAGGGCTTCTCAATTCTTTCTCAAGCCGTGTCCGCCCGCTCTGTACTGCTGTGTCCGTCTCTGCCTTGCAATCCTTTACATTTGTCTCCCAGCTCTGGAAGTCGCAAGCTCTTGTTTCGATTTTGAAAAACACAATCTGTTTGGGGTCTACGGTGGTGTAATTTCAAACACGTAAGCTTCCTGGAGAGCCCCCCCCTTCCTTTGGGTTATATGATGTTCCTTCATGTCACCAGAAGCTCCCTGCATCCAAGGTGATGCTGACTATGAGCGCGAGTTGCTTCTTTGAACTGAGTTCGACACCAGACGTGAGATGTTCGTCTGTGCTCCAGCTGGAGACTGTTGGGCCGACCCTTTTTTTGGTGCATAGACGCATAGACAGAGTGGGGCCGAGCCTGCCCAGGCTGGGGTCCCATGGGCCGCTACTTCCCCCTTTACATTGTGACGATGATTGCAGCCGTTTGCATTGCGACCTGGCTTGGAGTGTATTTCAGTGGGGGAGACATGGGGAGAATGGGGGATGGGAACCAGACGTTGGTTTGTTTGGTCCAAACATCTACCGTCGCGACAGGGTGACATTGCCTCCAGAGGTCAGAAACAGATCGCGTGCATTGCACATACTGCTTCCATACAGGGTATGTCATTCTCAGATGCCAAGAAAAGTCGTTTTCACACGTGCACCAGAAATTCACCGTAGACTGCAGAGAGGCGTCGTGGTACTTGCAAGTTTTTGCAGATCTGTCTTGAATCCTTCTCCAAGGCTTGCTCCATGCCTGGGCTTCGACTGGTGAATCAAAAGAGCGTGGTCGGAGGTCCTTCAGGCCCCGCACGTGCGGTGCCTGTGCGGTCTGCGGAAGAGGACTGCCAGGCGGCTCGGAGAGAGCCGCTCATGGAGGCCTAAGGACCCGAGTTTGGCTGACGGGTGATTGGTGTGATATAGAATGATTCTGGAATGTTTGTGCCAAAAGCCTGACGAGTCCGAGGATCCACTCTTTCAATTCATGGAGCACCGGGCTCTTTCACACCACCCTAAACCCTCTGTTCTTCCGAAGCAATTCACGGGGTTGAGATGGAACTTGCAGAGTTCAGGATAATCACATGAAGTGGACAGGCTTGTGTCCGAACTCGGAGTTTTGGAAGCTGTATGGGGAGCCAAAGCTGCTCCAGAGCCGGATGGACGGGAGGGGCACGAGAGAGGCACGGAAGGAAAGGGCCGAGGAAATGGGCAAAAGTTGCGGGGGGAGGTGTTCTAAAGCTCTGATGTGAGCAGGGATTCATGAGGCTCTGCGATGGAACCTGGAGCATCAAATCATAGCGAATCAAAGTAGTGAGTAGTGGTGATTGTCGGGCTTTTGCCTCCTTGGGTCCTTCTCGGACGGAGCCACTACTGGCGCGAGCTCGCCACTTTTGCTGCAGAGCGCGCGTGCCGTCCTGCCGTGCTTCCTCCAACAGCCTCGCCGCTGCTGGTCGTCCAAGCCTTTTGTCTGGGCTGCGCAAGGTGTGGTGAAACTGTGCCAGGGAGAAAAGACTATACGGTACTACCGTACTACCATAGGTGCATGGTCCCTCCCACTCCACAAGCCCAAGCCGCAGCAACGGGGGGAGGGGGGTGCGGCGAGTTTTGGTTAAGGGGGAGCACAAAAACCCATGGCTGAGGGAAATCATGTGAATCTGTTCGCCACATGTGACCCAGAAGTCCAGAGACACGCGATGTACAGTGTACAGCCATGTGGGTCATGTGGAAAGGAGCACATTTGTAGTAAATTGCGAAAGCCAGCTGATAGGCTAGGCTGAAGTTAGTTTATGTGAACGAACTAGGGGTGTGGGGGACAGACGCGACTATCTGTACCGAAATCCCTGCACCTGCTGGTGTTTTTCCATCAGATAGCAAGAGCTGCTGGGGTTCTTGCTTCAAGTATAGGAAGTGGTGCCTGTGTGCGCTTTGGAGCCTGAGTGCTGGTGCCGCTGCAGGGTGTGGTGCCGCTCCAGGGTGCTGCAGAGAGTCGCTGCAGGGCGCTGCTGCCAGATGCTGCGCTTTGGAGCCTGCATGCTCGTGCCTGCCATGGTGCTGCCCACAAATATCTTTTGCTATTTTGGGTCCATGCGGGTGTAATCACCTTTTGACGGAGGCCATTTTTGATCAGTTCGTAATGAAGAAAAAAGATGCAAGATGAACAAGTCCCACTCAGGGTGGCCAAGTGGGGTTTTCCTCTATGGAGTGTTTGAACTCTAAGTTTGGCCCAGGATACCAGTCCTTTGCATAATGTTATACATATATAAATATACACATACACAATATATATATATACACATATTACACACATATATATATTATATATATATATTGCCCTCTGGAAGGAGGGGCGGTAGGAGTGTCCAACAAGGGGTTGGGGATGCGTAAACTTCCTGCATTTCCCTTCTCAACTCCTAGTTTGACAGTCTTGAGACGTTTAGCTGAGACGCAAATCCAAAGGCTCTAAAACAATGACGCGCGTTGGCACGTCAACATGACCTGCGAGTGCCAAAAGCGTGCTCTCCATGAGAAGCTGTCACGGCAAAGCAGTGGCGGAAGCGGTCCAAGAGGTGCCGGCAAGGAAAAAGGGCCCAATGATGCCTACAGATCTGCCTTGATTGGATTTGAGATTTGATGTGAGTTCTCCTACGACTGGGTGATCGGCGTTTCTAGGTCAAAACGGATGTTTGCCCAACGGTTTGCTTATACTTTCTGGCCTGATGACCAATTCCAAGGTTATATTGCTCCCAAGAGAAGTGTTACCTGTAGATGTATGGCTCAGAAGGCAGAAAACGCCGGTTCGGCGCTCCTTCTACAGGCAAGGCGAGAGACTTGATTTGTTTCTGACCGATGGATGTTGAAGTGCTATTTTATTGCTATGATATTGGGGTCTGCGTGGGTCAGTGGGCTCAGGCATGCTTAGGTGAAAAAATGTGTTGACTTGGTGCTGACTTGATTCGATGGGCTCTTTCATTCCCAAAAACACTTGGGCCACTCCTGCAACCTGTTCTTGTGGTGGTCTCCCCTTTGCCATTCCATTCCGGCAGACGTGTCGCAGGCTGACCATGAGCTTCAATTTGCACAACAAGGTGCAAAGATGCTTCTGAAGCACAACTGGGCAATTGAGAACACACGACTGAAAAGGTACCTTGTAGGGGAACCATACATGCACCCATGGTTGGCTCCAGATCACCTATCTAGATAGACACAAGACATCACTAGGAACCAGCGGAAAGGGTGCGGATTCTGTTCTTATCAGTGTGACAACTTTGGAACTGCACTTAGGGCTTTCGTAGGAACCCTTGTTTTTCAGTTGGTAGCGGAGCCGGAAACCCCGGCTGTAAGAAGTAGTGGGGCTCCCCCGACTAGCCATCAGATCTTTCTACCACACGTGTTACACGTAAGACAGGTCAGGCTTCGTTTTAGGGAACTCCACTCGCGTCGTCCTCGGAACCATGGTGTCGGTACGTGGTGTTGCCTTCGTGCTTCTGGCTTTGATCACTCCTTGGGTCTTGCGGTACTCCGTGGGGGGCGCCGTGACAAGCGAGTCACCGATCCCTCTGCATGCAGTAGCGCAGATCCATGGAGCGATTGAAGTCTGGGGGAATAAGAGTGGGCCTCTTGAGAAACACGTTGCCTTGAGACCTCAGAATGCCTCGAGTGGCATCCCGACAGAGCCTTGGAAACCGAGATCAGAGCCGACCAGGGACCTCCGGAGACTCCATCAGTCTCGCCTTGTCTTCAAAGAAAGTATGCGCAGCCGCCGAAGGGCGGAGCTTCTTGAAAGGAAGTTTAGAAGATCTTTGAGGGCAGAGCGTCAAAAAATGCATGACATCAAGGTGAAGGGGTCGACGCGCTGCTTGAAAGGTTCGACACAGTGCGCGCTCGTGCAGCAGAACAAGGTAGATTGACTGTGTCTTGGGAGGGATTAGCGTGGATCTTACTAAGAGCAATAGGCGTTTCAGATTCGCAGTTGCTTCAACATTTGCCGCCTTTCCAGGGATCCATGCCAGCAACTCAGGCTCAGTTCGATCAACTGAGGACAAACCTTCGCCGTATGGGCCACATCTTAGAAAATTCTCTCAGGCATTGTGAAATCGTGATACGACGTCTCATCAGTATGTGACTCTCCCTCAGGATGATTCCCAGGATGCAGTTGGCCACCAGTCGTGGGCTTCGCGTGAGCAAGCAGCAGCCACCAGTTGGATGAATCAGCGACAACACATTAATAATAACCCTCAATTTTCATCAGACCAGCCTTCCGAAGCATTCCCATCGTTCGAGGGCTTTGAAAGCGGAACAGACACAGACACCAGTTCTGATGAAGAAGGTGAGTGGGGGCCAGAGCAATATTCCCTTAACCCCGAAGAGATTGAAGCATATGCTCAAGATCTGTATTGGGCATACTCTAAGGCCAAGCGACAGTGGAGATCATTCATGGGCAAGCCTCGCAAAGTTCGTCGCTTCCTTCGTAAGAGCTTCAAGGGTAAGGGAAAGGTAAGGGCAAGTTTAAAGGCGCTAAGGGTAAAGCAGGCCAGGTCTCTAGCACTTCGTACTTGTCGCAGTTGTCAGATCATGAGATCCAGTCACTCTTCCCAGCCTCCTCGTCGACGGGGAGGCACTGGCGTAAGAGCTCAGGGAAGGGGTCGCAAGGCCAATCCAAGGGGACGAGATGGCAAGCCGATGCAATGCCATGATTGTGGTTCGACAGAGCGCTTGATAGCTAAGTGTCCTAGACGCCAGCAGAGCCAATCGTCAGGTCCTAATAGTCTCTTTGTGTATGCCAATGAACTGTCCGCTCATCCACAAGTGCAACTGCTATCCACCAATCCTCCAGGATATCAGCCAGAAGCAGGTGTGATTCACTCCACCTCAGTTTGATGGTGACTCCTGGAGATGAGCAGCAGACGGATCAGACCAGTCTCTCGAGCTGGAGCCAGGTGGATCCCTGGCAATCAGCTCAGCTGCCACAACAACCATCATCACATGTGTCATCTGACCATGCTTGGATGAACTATCGACCAGCTATGGACCGCTGCTCTGCATGAAATGCTGGGTAGGTTCATGGCAGTTGGAAGACAGGGGCTCAGCAGGCTGCCGGAAGTGCAAGCCGGCCGTTGTTCGGCCCAAATCCTTCACCACTGTTGGACGAACAGGCTCAACAGTCAGTGCCAGCAGGTTCGATGGGGGTGAGTCATGTGCCAAACATGTCGCACCAGGCACCAATGATGCCAACGCAGCAGCCAGTTGATCCCTCAATGACTGATAGGTACACACATATTGGCCAACGCCGCCACCAGAATTGCCAGCGTGGGCCAATTTGCTGCATTTCCTGCATGGACTTAGGTACGAACCACCTGCGTATATTTCACCGCATCAAGCAGAAGCCGTATCAACCTTAGATCCATTCGCACAGCAGAGGGTTGAGGCTTTTCACCAGGCTTCTCAGATGACTGCGCTACCACGGCGCAATCGCAGAGGTGCTGCAGCCACCACAGTGTCGTCTCGACAAGGTGATCAGGCATTGACCGAATTGTTCCATCAAGCATCTCGAACGCTGGAAGTCCAGAATTCCATGCGTGAAACCGAAGCAGAGTTTCAAGAAGCTCAGGAGTTGGAAGAGCAAACGCATCGGTCGCAGCGCGCCGAGAACCAATCAACAGCTTCGGTGCCTTGATCGAATGCAGCATCCGTTCGCTCGGGCAGGTCAGCCAGTCCTGCTCCGTCGATTCGGTACGATGGCAACCCTGACCAACGCAGCGTATGCCAGGAAGTGTACAGGGGCGGTGAGCAACTCATTCGTCTCGTGTGTAGACACACTTTCCACCAGCAGTGCTGGGACTCTTGGGTCGGATCGTTCTCAGAAAACAGTTATCCAGAGTGTCCAAACTGGTCATCAGCAATTTCGCCTTTGTAGATCC